TTCGCGTTGATTTTTTGTTAGTTATTACCTCTTGTCAATGGATTTTTTTATGAGTTGTGTAGCGGCCAAGTTACTTTCATCTGCATCTTATTTTTAATATAACTTAGTTGATTAATCTGAGTAAATTAAAAAAATTAATTAAATTAGTTATTTGTAATAAATAAGTATTGCCCTCACACAATATCCTTACTAATCATTTGTATTAGTTAGAACTACCATTTGATAAAATCTATAATATGTGCAGTTATTATAAGGACTATATCAGGAAAAAAATAAATAAACATGAAAAAAAAGTAAATTGAGATCTTATATTTAAAATCAAATTAAATATTAAATTAGTTTTTATATTAAGAAGAGGAGCTAGTAGCATCTAAGTACAAAATTTTTTCCACCCGTAGGTTTTTGCTTTTAAGAAAAGGGTTCTAATCCTAGTTGAAAGTATTACTAACCATTGATCATTCAATGGTCAACCCCATACGTAACGCAGCTCTTAACAGACAAACTGATCGTATATTGACACAAGCATGTATCGTAAACTCATGATTAGCGAAGCAAAACTTTATATTACCGATACTTAATATAAGATTCAATTAAGTAATTTATAAAGATTAAAAAAAAATTTTAAATTACTTAATTATAATATATGTTATATGGTTTCTATAAAATACTTTAAAGATCTTGATTCCCAAATTAGTTAATTATGTTTTATATTAAAGACCAAATGTAATATTTTAAATAAACTATACTTCTCCCTATTCCAAATTAATGTAGGGGTCAGCTAACTAAGTGGGAGATATTAAAAACTTAATTAAATTAGTTTTTTAAAAAATATGTGTTAAATTTTCTAAAATACTCATTTAAATTATTTGCATTGGATAATACTCTCTTGTCAAGAAAAGACTCACTTAAAAAAATGGAGAGTTTAGAAAAAAAAAATACAAGTTTAAAAATAAATGAATTGAGATTTTATATTTAAAATGTTTTTTTTTATTAATTCTTACATGTAAGAGGGACTACTTGATATTTTAGCTTTCAAAATTACCAATCAGCTCTTATGCTTTTTTTCACTCTTTTAAGTGGGTTACGGTTATAACTTATAATTATGTTTGTTTCTCTCACAATTTTTTTTCAAATCATGCCATCTATCTTCTTTAACAAATTAAGTTAATGAATTTCCAAATTACATAAGGTAAATAGTTTTCTACTCTTTTTTTTTTCCTTCTGATGTCAATCTTTCTGATTGATTTTAGGCTCCACGGTTAGACAAGGGTTTTATTTTAGAACACTATGCTATTCATAAAATACAAATAATAATACGACTCACTCATGCACATAACGCTATAATCTAAGGGTTCCGGGGAATAAATAAAAGTTTATAAAATAAAAAGTATTGCATATACTTCGACCAATCCTAAGAAAAATCAAGTGGAATATTCCCTAATGCTTTTTGGCCACAATCTTATCCATTTGAATAGTAAACATGGTAAAAGCCAGGAAAGATATCCATCTATGCTATTCATGTCGGCTAATGATTAAATAAATTTGACTCTAAATAGTAATATGTGTAAAAAAATTGGTTTCCGTGATCATACCGTTAAAATTTTGCTGCTAACAGGAGAATTTTTGTAAACGTTCTTGGGCATTGAAATCTGCTCCAGAATTGACAAGTCCTGGTCACAGATTCTCTCCCTGTTTTTTTCCCTTTTTTCCCAATGTTTGAACCGAAAGTGAAGAAAAGATTCACCGTTTTGAAAGTGGAGTTGTTAGATTCTGCAAAGGGAATCATCAAACCACTTTATTATTAGTTAATTAATATTATTATTGTTAATTTGATGTCGGTTGGAAAGGACCCTTCAGCGTTGCTTCCATCTCTTTTCCACCATTAAGTTGGTTGTGCCAAATTGGATAAGATCATTTATATAGATTTAACTCGGACCCTAGTCGTGGATGTTTCCGGGTTGGGCTAGGGGGTCGGGTTATCCTTTATGAAAAAATAAATAAAAACTAATCTTTTAATATTATAATCTTAACTCATGATCTTGTCCATTTAGTACTGACTCAACTAAAACTCGGATCTTAAACCTTATCTTACACTAAGGGTGTGTTTGGATAGAAACCAAACCATGGTTTTAGAAGTGTTTTTACGGATTACGAAGTAAATATGTAGAGGAGATTATTTCGTTTTGCGGAAAAGTACTTTTGAAACCACGGTTTTGGGATACTCAAACAGGCCCTAAGTCAGTTAATTTTATTTGTTGAAAAATAATAATTACTTTTATCCACTATATATTTTGTGATTAAATTATAAGGACTAAGTTGCACTCAAATGCCTTTGTGATTAATGCTTAACGTTTTCCCTAATTTAATAATTATCGTTTAATAAAGACAGGTCAATGAGGTTTTCCAAAAAAAAATAAGTGGTTAATGAGAGATAACTTGGGAAAGATGATTTGAATGCATCTTAAATTTTCCTGCTTTTTAATAGCAAAAGCATTGATGCTCCAGATTTGGTTATACTCCTTCGGTCCTAAATATAAAACCTATTTTATAATATAAATTACACTAAAAAATGAGTCCCAAACCGGAGTAGTATTAAAAAAATGTAGGCAGTAAAATTAAATTATGGGTACACAATAATTATATATTATTTTTCATAAAAATAGAAAAATTTAAAATAGATACATACTCATTAGGTTTGATTTATAAGGCGTCGAAAGAATATTTTTTATCCTATTTATGAGTCATATTATTAAATTTTTAATATAAATGTTCTATCTTACCTTTTTTTTTTCCCGAAGTGCATATAATAAATAAGAATAAAGTTAAAAATGTTTTAAATTTTAAGAAAAAATTAATAAAATTTAAGATTTTTTTAAATTCCGACTAGACATGTCAAAAGCGATTTATAGGAGTGCGTATATGCGTGACCTTATCTATGACTCTAAACATCTGTATTTGAAACTAGCTATCACTAGAAAAAGTGGGTGTGGAACTTGGGGAAAAATTAATTCAACCCTATGGATGGGTTAAATATATAATAAATAACATTATGGATAAGTTAAATGCAACTGGGGAGATACGACGAATCAAAGCTAGGGAATAGAGACACAAATAGGGGATAAGAAGGAATGTGACATTATTAGGTAACAAGTTAGTTATGTGTACCAAGTGGTCCCAAGCCACCTGTGGCATGCCTCAACTGGAGGCCATGCGTCTGCTAGATTCTAGATCTTCTCACATCCCATATATCAAGCCAGTCAAATTGAAATTCGTTGACCAATAGGAATTAAAATCTAATGAAAGAGATTAGTTCTTCATAATGTGAAGGACAGACTTGAAAATAATACACTGCCTGCGATCCTTAATATAAGAGCTAGTTGATTAATTTGAGAATATTAAAAAAATTAGTTAGATTAGTTATTTGTAATAAATATGTATTGTCTTTTTTAAAATATCCTTGCTAATCAAGTATATTGGTTGCAACTACTATTATTACAAGAACTATCTTAAGAAAAAATAAATAAATATGAGAAATAAAGTAGATTGAGGTCTTATATCTATGACTAAAATAAAAATCAAACAAACTTTTATATTAAAGACAAGATAATATATATATTAAAACTACAATGTAATATGTCATATGTTCTGAAAAGAAAAAAAGACAGGTTCTAAAAGATACCCTACATTTAGAACTGCATGAGGATTTTCAAATGCTCTGATATCAGAGGAAGGAAAAATGTTGACAATGGACCAAGCCCCTTAATCCACCAAGCCGTAGGCTTAAAGAGCATTACAGGAGAGAATCGCATGTGGAAGGGGAAGAGGCCACGGAATAGTCCCAAGCTACTTATGGTATGCCTCAGCTAGAGGCTAAGTCTCTGTTAGATTCTACATTTTCTCACATCTTATATATCAAGCCAGTCAAATTGAAATTAGCCAACCAACAGAAATTGAATTTAATGAAAGAGACTAGTTCTTCATAATATGAAGGGTAGATCTGAAAAAAAAAAATCCTATCTCGGGTTTCTACATTAAAGACTTAATTGACTCATTTGAAGAAATCAAGAAAATTAATTAAGTTAGTTATTTGTTATAAATATGTGTTGTCTTTCATAAAATACTCTTATTGATCATGCATACTAGCTTGAATTACTATTTGATGAAACCTTTAACATATGTAACTATTATAAAAGCTATTTTAAAAAATGAATAAATATAAAAGACAAAGTAAATTGGGATCTTATATTTAGGACCAAATTAAAATCAAATAAGCTCTTATAATAAAAAACAGAGGTAATATATTAAAACTATAATATAATATGTCATGTATTCTGAATAAAAAAAAAAAGACAAGTTCTAAAAGATACCCTATATTTAGAACTGCATGAGGATTTTCAAATGCTCGCAAGGAAAAATGTTGACAATGGGCCAAACCCCTTAATCTACCAAGGCTTAAGCTTAAAGAGCATTACAAGAGAGGCGTTTAGTCGTCCCAGGCAAAGCTCACCCCTTATCATTTGAGCTCATAAGTAAAGTCTCTGCTATTAATAATTAATAACAAAAAATAAAAATAAAAAGAGCAGTTTTCCTTTTTTGCGTCCAAGAACACAAAAAGAGGTCAGGCTCACCGTCACCGAGTCTGTTCCGGGCTTGCGGCCGAGTCGGAACTGGGAATTCAGGTTAATGCTATTATCGGGCCGGATCTTCGGTTGGTAATTTTGACTCCGACTCTAACTCTTCAATTTGGAGTGTCCAGCTTTGCAACCTGACAAAATGTTTTTTTTTTTTAAAAAAAAAAATAAGTCTCTTAGGTAAGAAAAAACGTGTTGATATTGGCATCTGAGCTGGTCCCACCAACACCAGCGCTGATTTTCCAAATTCTACTCAAACCAAACCAACGCTATTAAAAATTAATTTTAAAAAATTTATTTATTTCCCCATCCCCTATATAACCCCAAGGGTTTCACATTCCTCTCCTAACAAACCTTTCGTTCATCATTTGAAATCTCCTAGACAGCGAGTTTTCCTAGTCACCCAAACTCCTAACTATCCAATTTCTCTCTCTCGATTTGAATTTATCTGTTCGGTACCTGCACAAGTCAAATCTAGTGGATGACGATGACACAGTGGACGCGCCATGAAGATAAGCTCCTCGAGCAGGCTATTGTCTTGTTTCCAGAGTGTTGCCCCAACCGCTGGGAGAAGATTGCCGACGCCGTCCCTGGCGCCACCGTCGATTTGGTCTGGCAGCGCTATCACGATCTCCTACATGACGTCGCTGAGATTGATGCCGGTCGGGTCCCGATTCCGGCCTTCCCTGACTTTCCATCTGATGCTGAGCCCTCCTCCTCTGATTGGAACTCTGCCAATCAAATTTCGTTCAACTCGAAGCCGCCTAAGAATACTGACACCGAAAGAAAGAAGGGCACGCCTTGGACTGAGGAAGAACATAGGTATGCTGGCTTGAAAATTCTCCAATTCAGCTCGATTTTGTTTTGTTCTTTTTCCTATTTCTTTTGACTGTGCTTAATTTTAGGGATTTTTTTTATGAACCGGTATGGTTTCCGAGAAAATATAGGAAAGAACTTGTCAAGGGCGGCAACTGATTCGAAAAATCGAAGTTTTTCCCCCCTCAAGGAGCTAGACGAAAACTCCTATGTTTTTGTGTTGTTAGTCTTGCTCTTCATGCTATTCTGAAGTTTTCTGGAGTAAAGCTGTTCAATTCTTGTTCCTGGTCATATCGTTTAAATCCTCTAATTCTAATGGTGGACTTTCATATTCAATTCCACAACCTCCTTCTTCAGAGCCTCAGGTTCACCATCAAAATTTCTACTTCTAATCCACATAGGCAGCGCTCTAATGGTTCAAATCCATATTTTGTTTCAGGAGTTGCGAGGTTTCATACAAAAACTTTTCTTCTAAAATATTTCCTACAGAGCTGCTTACCTAAACAACTCTGTTGTTAAGTATTTTTTTGGCCAGAAAAGACGGTATATATTACAATTTTTTTTAACCTACTTTTGACCACAACAATGTGACTCATATTGTGCCCCATCCATAATATATATTCTTTTCACCTGTTATTTTAGTGTCTGTAATTGTATGACACAATACCCTTACCTGACATAAGGAAACTCACTTGAGCCAGGGGCCAGACCAATCAATCACACTTGATTGATGCCTCTTCTATTTTGAATTTTTAGTTGTGATTCTCTAATATGATTGGCCTTTGTTGTATTCGTACTATCAGAGTCAATGACTGATTTTGATTTGGCTTCGTCATGCTCATTGTCCTGTTTTGGTTGCTTTAACTTTCAATACTTTGTGTTGGGATGGGAATGAAAATGAAAGTTATCTATCTTTTTGATTGTTAATCTGATCATGTATGTCCCTATTTGCCTACTCAAATAGGTTATTCCTCAGAGGATTGGAGAAATATGGCAAGGGAGATTGGAGAAGCATTTCGAGGAATGTTGTGGTAACTAGAACGCCAACTCAGGTAGCTAGCCATGCTCAGAAGTATTTTAATCGCCAGAGGGAAAAAGCGAAGAAAGAGAGGAAAAGAGCAAGCATCCATGATATCACAACTGCAGACACCAACGTGGAGCCTCTGGATCAAAACCAGATTGGTTCTTCAAGCCTTCAATCTCAGATTGTCTCTTCAGGCCTTCCGGTGCATCAGTCCTCACCAATGCTTCAATTTAACCCACAGAATCCTTCAATTGATCAGTCTCTTGGGTTTGGGTACCCAAACTATGCTTTTTCCAACTTAGAGATAGATGACATGCACTATTGATATATAAATGGCCTCATCCATCCTATTTTGTAAGTTTTTGGAGTAGTTGTGTGTAGTTACAAGTGTATAGATGACTTGGTACATCAGTTTGAATTAGCCACCAGAACCCCAAGGACTTAACAAATACGATGAATGAAGTCATACAGAACGTGTAGATGATATGATATTAGGCTTTTGATTGACCAAATCCCAAACTATACATTTCCAATTACATAGTCTGTAAAGTAACGTGTATGTTTTGTATATAGACGACTTGATTCATTTTGCTTGTTAAGTCTCTTAGGGAGGAGATTTGCCACTAGTTTAGCTCTTTTTTGTGTTCTGTTCAGATTATTTTGTGGATTCCTAGGCGACTGTTAGTAGTTGTGACAAAGAGTTTAGGGTTGAATTAAGACGGTAATTTTATGTTATTGGTCGGCGGAGAATTTGGAAAGTAGAAATAATAATTGAAATTCTTTGTCACAGTGATTTCCCATGGTGATCCACATTGTTGACTGTTGTCTGAGTGCTTAATAATGAGGTGGCCATTGGATCTTATCCAAAACCAAAAGACGGCTGCACGACGAAAAGATATCAAATGTCAAGAAACGCGGAGAAAAGCACGCGATGCCACGTTGGCCTGGACCGAAAATTAGATTTAGGGAGTACTGAGCAGGGGCAAGTTCTCAACGTCATCAAATTTCATATGCTAATTGACCTTCGTTTGCTTGAATTAAATTTAAATGCGCTATATCCTAATCAAGTGTAAATTTCAATTCAGCGAGCGTCTTTTCTGGGTCCTGTACAGTAAGATGCACTTATTTACAAATCCATGATTGTTATAAGTGACAACAGTCATTGGAGGGGGCGGATCAAAGATGGCAATGCCTATGTTGGCCCAGAAAGCCACCTTGGGTCCTGTACTTTAATTTTCTTCCCGTTTTCGTTTTTGAGTTTTTTGGGCCATCGTTTCACAATCTTTTACAATGCCAACTAATAATTTCCTGTACTAACAGAGTTGAATTTAGCGGAAGGCATTAATCTTTCGTAAAATAACAAACTAAAATTCAAATTTTTACTGTGAAAAGTGTTCATATTCAGTGCCAAGCAATATTTTGAATAAAATTGCCTCAAACAGGAGGAGGATCCCTATGCATAGCGGAAAACAAAACTAATAATATCTTGTATAAAAAAAAAGTTAAGGTACATTTTGCACCTTGAAATATTTTCTTGAATGCATCCAGTACCGTAAAATATTTTGTGGTCGTCCAGTACTCTGAAATATTTTTTAGGTGATTCCAGTATCTTGAAGTATTTTTATATGCTTTAGTGATGGATGCACAGAAAAAATATTTTATGATGCTAGATATATCTAAAAAAATACTTTAGAGTACTGGATGTACAAAAAAATACTTCAAAATGTTAGATACATTTGAAAAAGTTATTTTATCATGTTGAATGCATCTAAAAAAATACTTTGGGATGGTAGATGCATTTTAACACTAAAAAAACAAGGAAATAATATCATAGATGATAAGGGCGAAATTCATGAATTTTCATTCTGTAATTAAAAGTAAAAGGCAAATAAACAAATTGTATACTTCTATTACTTATTTTTTTTGACTAAAATATGAAAATATATAATTCTTAATAATAATAATAACAATTCAAATTTTATATTGTCGTTTTTAAAGCATCATTGATGTTACAATTACAGAATTCAATTAAAAAAAAAAATAACTGACCTTGTACACTTTGCTCCGCCGCCCCCCACCCCAAAAAAAATAAAAAATCTTGTGAACGTGATTTGGGTTGGCGTTAGCAAATAAGTTCAGGAATTTTTCAATGACAACTTAAAAGCATTTGAAATTTAGGGTCCATTGAGAGTGGCCAACAATGAGAAGGACACAGGTTATAGTACAAAACTTAGAAGATTAGATTAACATTAAAATTTCTTTCTTGCAAAAATTATGGTGTCAAAATAATATTGAAGACTTGATTTTATTTAATTACCTTCAGATGTACAATCCACTTAAAAAATCAACTGCAAAATTTCAATGAAAGGATGTAATCATTAAAAAAACTCACAAAAAATAAGCAGTATGGAGTGTGAATCTTTTATTATTTATTGCAGCAAACTTATTATTACTACATATTGCTCCCTTGTTAAGAGACCATTTTAGTAATTATATTAATTTTTTTCTACTCCTTGCAATGATTTTCCAAAAATTTTTCAAGTGAGCACATTTCACTAAATTTCCCAACTTCTTATTGCTCCAAGCCACCCATGCGTGTGTGTATATATTCATGAATCGCGAATGGTAAAGTTTTAAATTTTCTCACCGTTGGCCGAAAGAAAAATTTTCCCACCAAAATTCTCCTCGATCTTTCCGCGGTATGCCTTCATTCCTTGGTGTTTTCCTCTTTCTTTCTCCGTAACCGGATGTCTCAGTAAGATTCTTGATCCGTAATCGGATGTCTCACTAAATTCTTGTTGGCCGTTGCAGCTGCGGTGGCAAGGACAACCACCGACCGGCCGGCAGGATTCCGAAGGTCCATTGAAAAGCGATGGAGCAGTGGAATCGCGAGACGCACAAGCTTTTTGAGAACGCTCTCTTGAAGTATCCAGAGGAGCGTCCCGATCGTTGGGAGAGGATCGCCGATGAAATCCCTGGCGCCACCAAGGAAATGGTTCTGCAACGATATCAAGAGCTATTAGACGACCTGGCGGCGATCGAAGAAGACCGGGTGCCGATTCCGTCGGACGCAGACGATCCTGATGACTGGAAAATGAACGAATACAGGTACGTACGAAATTTCTCAATTCACTTCAATTGCATTTCGTTCCTTTTCCCCCCTGTTTCTTCTTTTCAGTTTTCTTGATTTTGTGGATTTTCCTTATGAATTGTCAAGAAATTATCGTCAATGACTGATTTCGATTTGTCTTTGTCATACTGACTGATCTTGGTGTGTTGCTTCTCTCGACGATAGTACATTTTTTTAGATTGTTGATTCAAAAAAGCATATGATCGGTGTGATAAAAAATGAAAAAATCTGAATTGCAGAGGTGAACAAGGAACGAACGAAGAAAGAAGCAACAGTGCAGAAAGGGAAGAATGGATGGAGAAAAACAAGTTTGATTCAGAAGAAGATGAGGAAGACAAGTGCAGAGGCAAGGATAAAGAAGATAACTGAAAGGACGACGCCCACGAAACTTTACTTGTTCTGAATTGTTCTTTTTTCTTTTTCAATTGTCAATTTTCAGTTTTTGCTACGAGCCTTGGATGGCAAATATGATGTTAATTCGGGGGCCAAAAGAGTAAATAATTCTAGTTGACCTTCCTCTGGCAAAGTTGATTTTAATAAATCTCTATAAAATGTCTCCCTTCACCGCAAGACATTTATCTTTTTACGGTATTAAATATAGATGTAAATATAGTATAATTTTTATGCAAAAAAAATTATCAAACATTTGTATCCCTACAAATAGTAATAAGAGAAATTAAATTAACTGGCCCTTTATTTCCGTATTATAATTTAGGTATACTATAATTTAAAAAAAAAAATATATCAGTGTGTATATTATAAAACCAGAGCCCATCTTTACGTTAACTTATTTTTTAAACTTCTGTACATTTTTATTAAAAAATATTCAAAGACCCCAAACTTTAGGGCCGTTATTTTAGTTGCTAAGCACCGTTTTTTGTTGGTTTGTTTTTTTTAATCAACCACATTCTGCAGCCCGTGTGCCAGGGGCCTAATGTAAAGTAGACACATTTAAATAATTTTACTCAAAATTATATGCACATATATTAAATATTGAAAATCAAATCCATATACATAATATAAAAATTTTAGGGTTGAACTTTTGTTTTCTCAAATTTGTTCTCATTTTAATTTTGGTTCTTAATTTTTTTTTCATTTAAAATATTGATTCTTATAATTTAATAAAAACCTAGATTATTTTGCCCTTTAAAGGACTAAAATCTATAGTTTAAAATCAAAATGAAGGAAAACTTAAAAAAAACTAAGAATTATATTAGTCCAAAATTTTAATATATTATACGTTTTCTTTGCTGTGAGCTTTTCAATGGCAAATACGATATTAGGAGGAAAAATTAAATAATTCCGGTTGACTTTCCTTCAACACAATGCATTCATCTTTTTACGTTATTAAATATAAATGTAAATATAATATAATTTTATAAAAACATTTGTATCCTACAAATAGTCAGAGACATTAATTATCAAACATTTACTAACTCTTATTATGTAGGGGGGGAAAACTAACAATCTGTATTATATATAATTTAGGTATGCTACAATTTTTTTTAAAAAATATATCAATATATAAAATAAGGAAAAAAAACTTAACTGTAGCCTGCAGGTATCACTGAATTATACCATTTTTTAAGTTATGTTAATTCTTCATAAGGAAAAAAAAATTCAAATTCCCCTAAAAAATTAGGGCCGATATTTTGGCAAATAAACACCTCGATCCCCAGCATTCTTCAAGCACCACTGGCTTAATCTAAATTTTCAAAATTATATAATATACATATATATTAAATATTGAAATTTTTCAGGCAAAAAAAATTGAAAATGAAATCTATATGCGTAATATAGAAGCTTTAATATATCATACGGTTTCTAGATTCTGTTAGATTTGGAACGCGGGGCAATTTAAAAAAATTGAAAATAAGTTATCGTTATTCTCTCTCCTATATGGCTTCATATACACATATCCAGTCATTCCCAAGAATCACGAAGAACAAATTGAAGAGTTTCGCGCCAAAATTTTGGTACCAAATCACCGGTGACACTGTCGAAACTCCACATCCTTAAACCCCGCTTCTTCTTGCCCCTGCCGCGTTGGAACTCCGACCACCGATCTCCACCGCAACTTGCTGTGTACGGAGACGACTTAATCGGTTCTTGTACTCTCTCTCTATATATATAAAAATATAAATATATATATCTTTCATATCCATCGCTAACATTATCTCTCTTTCTCCGCAGTCCGCGATGTCTCTGTATCCTCATCAACTGCTGCCTCCGCACGATGTCGCCGATATTGAATCGGGTCGGGTTCCGGCAACGTATTATCCGGACTCTTGGCCCTCCTCCTCCGCCAATCAGCCGCCCAGGCCTAGCGGTCGTACGAAAAAGAAGAGCACGTCTTGGACTTTGAATGAACACATGTACGTACACTTTATTACATTATTCATTTATTCGTGAGAGCATTAAATGATCAGGAAGTCGGATGAAGTTACAAAGAGGATTCAAGCCGCAACTTACCACCTGGTTTTCAATGTTGCTAGGTCATAAGAACATTAGTTTTATTGTACTCCCTCCGTTTTTTATTATAAGAGACATTTGATGCTTGTGGCATGTTTTTATATATAAAAGACACTTAAAAATTGTCTCTATTTTTTTGTGTTGATTTTCTATTTTACCTATATTTATTGTCTCCAACTCACACTCTCTCTCTTTCCCATTTCTCTTTCTTTTAATAATTTACTATTGTTCTCTCTCATGTTCTCCCTCCCTCATGTTCTCTCTTCTTATTAATGAGGATATTTTTGGAAAAAAAATTATACTTTTTACATATTGATTGTTCTTAACTAATTTTAACTGTTTTTTTTATCAACGTAATTCGGTTATTTGTCTCTTATAATAAGGAACGGATGGAGTATTATTTTATCCTGTTTTTACCTTAAGTGGTCAGTATCTGCACTTTTAAATTAAAAAAAAGGTTTAACCGGTGGTATTACTTCCGATTCTTAATATAAAATCTTTTTTTTTATTTTAATCCTTAATATAAGAATTCAATTTATTTTGTCTCCTATATTTATTCATTTGTTTTCAAAATAGTCTTTTTAATAATGATAATTCTAACCAATAAATTGATTAGCAATGATATTTTAGAAAAGATAACACCTATTTATTACAAATAACTAACTTAACTTGTTTTCTTAATTTACTCAAATTGGTCAATTAGTTCTTATATTTAGGAACGATGGTAATATTTTGATTTGTCTGTCTTATGAACTGATATGATTTATTTTGATGTTGATTTGAACAGGTTATTCTTGGTGGGAGTGGAGATATATGGGAAGGGAAGATGGAAGAAGATATCTGAGAATGTAGTGATGACAAAAAATGCAAATCAAGTGGCAAGCCATGCTCAAAAGTTTTATATTCGCCAAAGTGAAAGAGAGACACAAGTGAAGAGAAGAGGAAGTATCCATGATTTCACTTTAGCAGACATCAAACCTAAAGATCTCAAAGGGATTATTACTTCAATAACCTCATCATTGGATCATCATCAATATAACCCACAAATTCCTTCAAATCCTAATTTGATGCATCAATCTAATAACTCAACAGTTCATCATTATCATCTTCCACTGAATCATCAATCTCATGATCAACCTACCTCACCACTTCATAATGTTCTTCAGCTGAACCAATCATTAGGAACTCAAATTCCACTGAACCAAACTCAAATACGTTATGATCTTCCATTGAATCATCAATTAGGAACTAAAATTCTTTCCAGTCTTCAATCTCATGATCTAGATATCTCACCGATTCATCATTTTCCTCCGCTAAATCAGTTAGGAACTCATCAAAGTCCATTGAATCAGACTCAACTTCATTATGATCTTCCATTGAATCATCACTTGCTGCCGATGAATCAACTAGGAAGTCAAATTCCTTTGACTCTTCAACCGCATGATCAAGCTACCTCAATGGTTCATAACATTCATCCGCTGAATCAATTAGGAACTCAAATGCCATTGGATCATACTTATGATATTTCATTGCAGCTGAATCAATTAGGAACTCAAATGCCACTGGATCAGACTCAAAATCATTATGATCTTCCACTGCCGATGAATCAATCAGGAACGCAAATTCCTTTGAGTTCTCAATCTCATCAAGATACCTTACCGATTGATTATGTTCTTCCCATGATGAATCCCTCATTAGCATTAGCTAGCTAGGAGTTTTGCCAATTGTAATTTGTTTCTTTTTTGTTACTGGTTTTGTGAGCTGCACTTGTCAATGATTGGTTTTCTTTACTTGTGTTCTTAGCGAGGCGATGCAATTTTTTGTGTGTGGAACATTGTACTTGATTGCTTCATCAGGAATCATTACCAAGTCATAAAAATCTTTATCTCCTTAATAACCAAAATCTATAAATATAATTGTGCACTAAATTTGATTCGGACAATGAAAATGGAAATGAAAAAAAAAATAGTAGAGAGAACAAGGTATAACCAATGAAACTTAATAGATGAGCTTTATCAATAGTGATTATAAAGCATATACAAAAAGCTAAGTCTTAATTATATCGCACATGAAGTTGGCTATATGGTCGGCTATCTAAGGATTGATTTCTAATGTTTGACGAAGCTTTTGTCTCATACTAAAAACAAGAAGGACAAGATTATATGCGGTTACTACTTTTTATTCCTTAATAAATAGTGGCAACAAACGTTTTCTAACCTTGGAGCCAACTATAATCTTGAATCGAGCTGCTGGGGACTCAAATCGAATGTGTATAATTAATAAAATCATTAGCACAAAAGGTCCTTTTTCCCACGGTTGAAAAAAGGATTTTTACACCGTTTTTGTAATTGGAGTATGGAAGACTTCTATATTAATACATTAATTACTAACTTCTGTAAAATTTTGTGAGTTAATATGTTTTCATTTTGCCTTTATTAAAGAAAGCTCTTTTTCTGCTTTGGTTGTAATTAACCACTGAACAGAATGCTAAGTAAAACAAGAAAAACTTCATCACTTTTCTAATAGTAATAAAATGGGCATGAAGCGTGCTCCCATAATAAGATAATACTTTTCACCATAAGAGATTTTCAGTTGAGGTATACAAACAAAATGAAATCAAACTTAGGGATAAAAAATTATATTAATATTATGATATAAAAACTTTAATATACTACGCATTATATAAAAATTGTGAAAGACGTTTGTTTTGCACATTGGGTTAAAGATGGAAAACCCGCTGGCAGATGGACAGATTATTATTGAGTTGGTCCCACCAGGATTCTAAAATTCTAGTCGTGCAAAACAAGAGCATATTCAAGAACTCAGTTTTTTTTTTCCCCCCAAATAAAAAATTGAAGTTAGGTGATCATTCCTCTTGCTCTATCTCTGCGTATATACACGAGTCAACATAAAGTCTCGTACCAAAATACAAGTGAGACTGTTAGTGGAAATCTTTGACCCTAAGCTTCACTGCCTCTTGCCTCCGCCGCGTCGGAACGACGACTCTCCGCGGCAGCTTGTTACGTACGGAGACGACTTAACTGATTCTCGTTCGTCCTCAGTCTTTCATCTTCACTATACGTTTCGTTTCGGTATCTCTCTCTTTCTCGCTACGTAATCGGATATTTTTCCGTCGGATTCTTGATGACCCATTACTTAATTCTTGCTGTCATTTCATGTTTATAGAATCATCTGTGTCAAATCGCTATACTCAAATATATATATATTGGATTTGGGTCTCCAAGATTGATTCTTGCAGACCGTAATCAACAGGTTCTTTGTCGAACTTGTCTATACATCGATGAAGTATACGATTGTCGGATACAGTATGCTGATATATATGTATGTATGTGTATAAGCGGGTGTTGCGTATATATGATGAAGATGACTGATTCATAATTATGAAGATTGGTGAAGGGAAGAGGCAAGAAGGCAATGGGGTCCCGGAGTAAGGAGGCGGACAAGCTGTTTGAGAGTGCTCCGGTGTGTTTTCCGGAGGGCCGCCCCATCCAGTGGGAGAGGACCACGGAGGTGGCCCCCGGCACCACAAAGGAAATGGTTTACCAACGGCATGACGACGTCGAGCAGATTGATTTGGGTCGGGTTCCGCCACCAGATTACCCGGACTACTCTTGGCCTTCCTCCACCAAACAGCAACCCAAGTATAGCGGTCCCATAAGAAAGAAGCGCAGCTCTTGGTCTTTGGACGAACACATGTACGTACCTACATTGTTGCATTCATTTTTACCTATATATGCAAGATCAATTGCCACACACACACACACAGATATAAAGGTATGATCATGAAATGATGAGGTGATATAATTTTTGATTTTGATCTGAACAGATTGTTCCTGGTGGGAGTGGAGATACATGGGAAGGGAAAATGGAAGAAGATATCTGAAAACGTAGTGAGGACAAGAAGTGTAATGCAGGTGGCAAGCCATGCCCAAAAGTTTTATCTTCTCCAAAGTAAGAGAGACGCAAGAGTTAAGAGAAGAAAAGGAGGAATCAATGCTCTCACTTTAGAAAACATCTGCCCTCATTGTTTGAACCACATTCTTTCTTCAATTCCCTCACTGCATCATCATCATCATCACGTTCATTATGATGTTCCAGTGAATGATCAGTCATCTTCTTCAGGTCTTCGTCAATTGCAAGAGCCATATCACTGTGAACCTAACTCACAAGTTCATGAAGATGATCTTCCCATGCAGCATCAATCACTGGGAATGAATCAAAGCTACCAATCTGAGCAACATCAGTCCAAGCCACCACAAAGACCGGAGCTGATCAATCCTTAATTAATTATTACCTAATATATTTGTAAACTTCTCTCATCTCCTTTCCTTTTCCAAGTTGCCTCTTGATGTGGTTCAATTTCAGATGTTTGGGAGTGTTGGAATTTCCTTAGTATTAGCTACGAGTTTTACCAGTTGTTACTGATGTTTTTCCCTTTTTTGTTACTAATCTTGTGGATGTTGTATATCAATATGGTTTCTTTTACTTGTTGTGTTACACTGTACGCACTAGCTAAACTGTTTCATTTACGAATAGTTGATAAGTCATAAAAGCTTCATTTGCAAAATAGATAGGTTTAACCTACCAAAAATGACAAGTTAGGGTTGGATTTTTAGCCAACCCACCAACAATTAAAGCCTTCTAACTCGCACTGCTTTAATTTGAACCTTTGTCAACATGCATATTGTTTTCCTTTTCTTTCAATTTTTTGTGTTTATTTAATAATATATATTATAAAAAAAAATAATGTTTTGACCTTTCCATGTTTTCTCATGTTTGACCTTTTGTTGTTTGAAAAATCATGACTTTGGTTGTGTTAATGGTTTGTACTTTTGCTCGAATATTTGTATTATTTTAGATAATTTGCTAGTCTTTTAATTGATTATTTATAATGTAGTATTTATAATTTTTCGATGGCAAATATGATATTCTTGGGGGGGGGGAGTTAAATAATTCTGGTGAAATTTCCCTGAACACAATACGTTCATCTTTTTACGTTATTAAATATAAATGTAAATATAATATTCCTCCAGTTTCAAATATAAGACTTATTTTGTAGTATAATTTATACTATAAAATGGGTTTTATATTTAGGACTGGAGGAGTATAATTTTATAAAAACATTTGTATCCTGCAATAATAGTAAGAGAAATTAATTATCAAACATTTACTAACTCTTACTATGTTGGGAAAAAAAAACTAACAATCTGTATTATATATAATTTAGGTATGCTCTAATTTTTTTAAAAATATATCAATATATATAATATAACGAAAAAAACTTAACTACAGGTATCACTGAATTAAACAATTTTTTTAAAGTTCTGTTAATTTTTCATAAGAAAAAAAAATCAAATTCCCTCGAAAGCCGATATTTTATTAAATAAATAACAACTTGATCCACTATATTCTTCAGACCATGCACTAGTGGCTTAATCGAAATCCTCAAAATGATATAGGGTAAAGGTACAACCAACACTTCAATCTATTTTTTTAGGTGCATCGAGCACCCTAAATTTATTTATGATGCAATTTTACCCTTAAACTTTTTAATATGGTGCAGTTTTATCTAAAGTTAACTGATTGCATACATGTGTCACAGAAATTGACAGATAGGTTTGGTGATTTATTTAGCGAGATCTGAGAAGGAGAGGGGGGATGGAGCGGGTGGTTTAGCTTTTCTAATAGGAGAAGACATATGGTTTATTACGTGGCAGAAGTCAACAAATCACCAAGCCTATCTGTCAATTACATTAACGGACGTTTGGAATCAGTTAACTTTGGATAAAATTACACCATTTTAAAAATTTTAAGAATAAAATAAATTGGGGTGTTAGTTGTACCTTTACCCAATGATATATATATATATATATATTAAATATTGAAAAGGAAATCTAAATAGAAACTTTAATTTATCATACGGTTTCTTGATTCTGTTAGATTTGGAACCCTTGGGAATTAAAAAAAAAGAGAAGAAAATAAGTTATCATTATTCTCTCTCCTATGTGGCTTTATATAAAAACTTAAATATATCACACGGTTTCTTGATTCTGTTAGATTTGGAACCCTTCGCAATTAAAAAAAAAAATTGAAAAAAAGTTTTCATTGTTCTCTCTCCTATGTGGCTTTATATACATATATCCACTTATCCCCGAGAATCACCAAGAAAGAATTGAAGAGTTTCGCGCCAAAATTTTGGTACCAAATCACCGGTGACGCTGTCGAAACTCCACATCCATAAGCCCCGCTTCTTCTTGCCTCCGTCGCGTTGAAATTCCGACCGCCGATCTCCGCCGCAACTTGCTGGGTAAGGAGACGACTTCATCGGTTCTTGTACTCTATATCATATATACTGCATATGTATGTCTTTCATATCCATCGTTAACATTATCTCTCTTTCTCCGCAGTCCGCGATGTCTCAGTATCCTCATCAACTGCTGCCTTTACATGACGTCCGCGATACTGAATCGGGTGGGGTTCTGGCACCGTATTACCCGGACTCTTGGCCTTCCTCCTCCACCTATCAGCCACCCAAGCCCAGCGGTCGCACAACAAAGAACGGCACATCTTGGACTTTGGATGAACACATGTACGTACACTTTTATTATGTTATTCATTTATTTATGAGAGCATTTAACCCGCAACTTACCACCTAGTTTTCAATGTTGCTAGGTCATAAGAACATCAGTTTTATTATATTATTTATCCTGTTTGTGCCTCAAGTGTTTAGTACTCTCTCGGTCCTAAATATAAGATCATTTTTGTAGTGTAATCCTAAATAAAAGACCCTTTTTGTAGTGTAAATTACATTATAAAAAAGGTCTTATATTTATGACTAGAGGAGTATTTTGTCTTTCAAATTAAACAAAAAGTTTAATCGGTACGTGATATTTTGATTTGTCTGGCTTATGAGTTGATATGATTTATTTTAACTTTGATTTAAACAGATTATTCTTGGTGGGAGTGGAAATATATGGGAAGGGAAAATGGAAGAAGATATCTGAGAACGTAGTGACGACAAAAAGTGCAAATCAAGTGGCAAGCCATGCTCAGAAGTTTTATATTCGCCAAAGTGAAAGAGCCGCGCAAGTCAAGAAAAGAAGAGCAAGTATCCATGATTTCACTTTAGCAGATATCAGCCCTAACCATCTGGAAAGGATTATTTCTTCAATAACCTCATCACCAGATCATCATCATCATCAATATAACCCACAAATTCCTTCAAATCCTAACTTGATGCATCAATCTAATAACTCACCAGTTCATTATCATCTTCCACTGAATCATCAACCTCATGATCAACCTAACTCACTGCTTCATAATGTTCTTCCGCTAAACCAGTCATTAGGAAATCAAATTCCACTGAACCAAACTCAAATACATTATGATCCTCCATTGAATCATCAATTAGGAGCTCAAATTCCTTCCAGTCTTCAATCTCATGATCCAGCTATCTCACCAATTCATCATTTTCCTCCGCTGGATCACTTAGGAACTCATCAAAGTCCACTGAATCAGACTCAACTTCATTATGATCTTCCATTGAATCATCACTTCCTGCCCATGATGAATGAATCAGGAACTCAAAGTCCACCGAATCAAACTCGAATTCATTATGATCTTCCATTGAATCATCAATTGCTCCCAATGAATCAACTAGAAAACCAAATTCCTTTGACTCTTCAACCTCATGATCAAGCTACCTCAATGGTTCATGATGTTCATCCGATGAATCAATTAGGAACTCAAATGCCACTGGATCAGACTCAAAGTCATTATGATATTTCATTGCCGCTGAATCAATTAGGAACTCAAATGCCACTGGATCAGACTCAAAATCATTATGATCTTCCACTGCCGATGAATCAATTAGGAACGCAAATTCCTTTGAGTTCTCAATCTCATCAAGATACCTTACCGATTGATTATGTTCTTTCGATGATGAATCCGTCATTAGCATTAGCTAGCTAGGAGTTTTGCCAATTGTAGTTACTAATTTGTTTCTTTTTTGTTGCTAATTTTGTGAGCTGCACTTGCCAATCATTGGTTTGCTTTACTTGTGTTCTTGGCAAGGCAATGGAATTTTTTTTTTGTGGAACATTGTACTTGATTGCTTCATCAGGAATCATTACTAAGTCATAAAAATCTTTATTTCCGTAATAACCAACATCTATAAATATAACTGTGAACTAAATTTGATCTGGACAATGAAAATGGAAGTGAAAAAAAAAAGAATAGCAGAGAGAACAGGGTATAATCAATGAAACTTAATAGATGAGCTTTATCAATAGTGATTATAAAGCATGTACAAAAAGCTAAGTCTTATTAATTATATCGTATATGAAGTTGGGTATATAGTCGGCTATCTACGGATTGATTTCTAATGTTTGAAGAAGCTTTTTTCTCATACTAAAAACAAGAAGGACAAGCTTATATGCGGTTACTATTTTTTGTTCCTTAATAAATAGTGGCAAAAAACGTTTTCTAACCTTGGAGCCAACTATAATCTTGAATCGTGCTGCTGGGGACTAAAATCGAAAGTGTATAATTAATAAAATCATTAGTAAAAAAGGTCCTTTTTACCACGATTGAAAAAAGGATTTTTACACCGTTTTTGTAATTGGAGTATGGAAGACTTCTATATTAATACATTATGTGTTGTTAATTACTAACTTCTGTAAAATTTTATGAGTTAATATGTTTTCATTTTGCCCTTTTTTAAGAAAGGTCTTTTTCTGCTTTGGTTGTAATTAACCACTGAACAAAATGCTAAGTAAAACTAAAAAAACTTCATGACTTTCTAATGGTAAGAAGATGGGCATGAAATGCGCTCCCATAATAAGATAATACTCTTCACCATGAGAGATTTTCAGTTGAGGTATAAAAACAAAATGAAGTCAAACTTAGGGATCAAAAATTATAATAAAATTCTAGTCGTGCAAAACAAGAGCATGTTCAAGAACGCAGTTTTTTTTTTTTTCAAATAAAAAATTGAAGTTAAGTGATCATTCCTCTCGCACTATCTCTGCGTATATACACGAGTCAACTTAACGTCTCGTACCAAAATACAAGTGAGACTGTTAGTGGAAATCTTTGACCATAAGCTTCACTGCCTCTTGCCTCCGCCGCGTCGGAACGACGACTCTCCGCCACAGCTGCTACGTACGGAGACGACTTAACTGATTCTCGTTCGCCCTCAGTCTTTCATCTTCGCTATACCTTTCGTTTCGTTATCTCTCTCTTTCTGGGTACGTAATCGGATATTTTGCCGTCGGATTCTTGATGACCCATTCCTTAATTCTCGCTGCAATTTCATGTTTATAGAATCATCTGTATCAAATCACTATACTCAAATATGTATATATATTGGATTTGGGTCTCCAAGATTGATTCTTGCAGACCGTAATCAACAGGTTCTTTGTCGAACTTGTCTATACATCGATGAAGTATACGATTGTCGGATACAGTATGCTGATATATATGTATGTATGTGTATAAGCGGGTGTTGCGTATATATGATGAAGATGACTGATTCATAATTATGAAGATTGGTGAAGGGAAGAGGCAAGAAGGCAATGGGGTCCCGGAGTAAGGAGGCGGACAAGCTGTTTGAGAGTGCTCCGGTGTGTTTTCCGGAGGGCCGCCCCATCCAGTGGGAGAGGACCACGGAGGTGGCCCCCGGCACCACAAAGGAAATGGTTTACCAACGGCATGACGACGTCGAGCAGATTGATTTGGGTCGGGTTCCGCCACCAGATTACCCGGACTACTCTTGGCCTTCCTCCACCAAACAGCAACCCAAGTATAGCGGTCCCATAAGAAAGAAGCGCAGCTCTTGGTCTTTGGACGAACACATGTACGTACCTACATTGTTGCATTCATTTTTACCTATATATGCAAGATCAATTGCCACACACACACACACAGATATAAAGGTATGATCATGAAATGATGAGGTGATATAATATTTGATTTTGATCTGAACAGATTGTTCCTGGTGGGAGTGGAGATACATGGGAAGGGAAAATGGAAGAAGATATCTGAAAACGTAGTGAGGACAAGAAGTGTAATGCAGGTGGCAAGCCATGCCCAAAAGTTTTATCTTCTCCAAAGTAAGAGAGACGCAAGAGTTAAGAGAAGAAAAGGAGGAATCAATGCTCTCACTTTAGATTTGGCCAAAAAAACAAAAAAAGGTCTCACTTTAGAAAACATCTGCCCTCATTGTTTGAACCACATTCTTTCTTCAATTCCCTCACTGCATCATCATCATCATCATCATCATCATAACCCACAAATTCCTTCGAGTCTTCAATCTCATCAGGTTCATTATGATGTTCCAGTGAATGATCAGTCATCTTCTTCAGGTCTTCGTCAATTGCAAGAGCCATATCACTGTGAACCTAACTCACAAGTTCATGAAGATGATCTTCCCATGCAGCATCAATCACTGGGAATGAATCAAAGCTACCAATCTGAGCAACATCAGTCCAAGCCACCACAAAGACCGGAGCTGATCAATCCTTAATTAATTATTACCTAATATATTTGTAAACTTCTCTCATCTCCTTTCCTTTTCCAAGTTGCCTCTTGATGTGGTTCAATTTCAGATGTTTGGGAGTGTTGGAATTTCCTTAGTATTAGCTACGAGTTTTACCAGTTGTTACTGATGTTTTTCCCTTTTTTGTTACTAATCTTGTGGATGTTGTATATCAATATGGTTTCTTTTACTTGTTGTGTTACACTGTACGCACTAGCTAAACTGTTTCATTTACGAATAGTTGATAAGTCATAAAAGCTTCATTTGCAAAATAGATAGGTTTAACCTACCAAAAATGACAAGTTAGGGTTGGATTTTTAGCCAACCCACCAACAATTAAAGCCTTCTAACTCGCACTGCTTTAATTTGAACCTTTGTCAACATGCATATTGTTTTCTTTTTCTTTCAATTTTTTGTGTTTATTTAATAATGTATATTATTAAAAAAAATAATGTTTTGACCTTTCCATGTTTTCTCATGTTTGACCTTTTGTTGTTTGAAAAATCATGACTTTGGTTGTATTAATGGTTTTTACTTTTGCTCGAATATTTGTAATATTTTAGATAATTTGCTAGTCTTTTAATTTATTATTTATGATTTAGTATTTATAATTTTGCGATGGCAAATATGATATTTTGGGGGTGGGGTTAAATAATTCTAGTGAACTTTCCCTCAACACAATACATTCATCTTTTTACGTTATTAAATATAAACGTAAATATAATACTCTTTCAGTTCTAAATATAAGACTCATTTTATAGTGTAATTTACATTACAAAATGAATCTTATATTTAGGACCAGAGGAGTATAATTTTATAAAAACATTTGTATCCTACAAATAGTAAGAGAAATTAATTATCAAACATTTACTAACCCTTACTATGTTGGGGAAAAAAACTAACAATCTGTATTATATATAACTTAGGTATGCTATAATTTTTTTAAAAATATATCAATATATATAATATAAGGGGGGAAAAAACTTAACTGCAGGTATCACTGAAGTAAACAATTTTTTTAAGTTCTGTTAATTTTTCATAAGAAAAAAAAAATCAAATTCCCCCAAAAATTTAGGGCCGATATTTTATTAAGTAAATAAACAATTCGATCCACCACATTCTTCAGAGTGCACCAGTGGCTTAATCTAAATCCTCAAAATGATATAGAGTAAAAGTGCAACTAACATCTCAATCTATTTTTTTAGATGCATCCAGCACTCTAAACTTATTTATGGTGCAATTTTATCCTTAAACTTTTTAATATGGTGCATTTTTATCCAAAGTTAACTAATTGCAAACATCCGTCAAAGAAATTAACAGATAGGCTTAGTGATTTGTTGACTTTTGCCACGTGATAAGCCAGATGTCTTCCCACACCGTCCCCCCTCTCCTTCTTCTCAGATCTCATCAATATTATGATTGTTACTTTTTTAAAAAAAATTTGTTAAAGAAAAAGTTTTTAATCGGGGTATATTGGCTCAATGGTCTTTAGCATGGAAAAAACAGAATAGATTGGAGAAGAAAATTAGGTTCTCTGATTCCCAATTTGTGAAGATTGTTGGCCCACCAAATAGACAAAATTTCATTAACGGACGTTTGGAATCAGTTAACTTTGGATAAAATTGCACCATTTTAAAAAGTTTAAGAATAAAATTGCATTACAAGTAAGTTTAGGGTGCTGAATGCATCTAAAAAAATAAATTTGGGTGCTGGTTGTACTTTTATCCAATGATATATATATATATAAAATATTGAAAATGAAATATAAATAGAAACTTTAATTTATCATACGGTTTCTTGATTCTGTTAGACTTGGAACCCCGGGCAATTAAAAAAGAAAATAAGTTATCACTATTCTCTCTCCTAGATGGCTTTATATAAAAACTTAAATACATCACACGGTTTCTTGATTCTGTTAGATTTGGAACCCTTCGCAATTAAAAAAAAATTGAAAATAAGTTATCATTGTTCTCTCTCCTACGTGGCTTTATATACATATATCCACTTATCCCCGAGAATCACCAAGAAAGAATTGAAGAGTTTCGCGCCAAAATTTTGGTACCAAATCACCGGTGACGCTGTCGAAACTCCACCTCCATAAGCCCCGCTTCTTCTTGCCTCCGTCGCGTTGAAATTCCGACCGCCGATCTCCGCCGCAACTTGCTGGGTAAGGAGACGACTTCATCGGTTCTTGTACTCTATATCTTATATACTGCGTATATATGTCTTTCATATCCATCGTTATCATTATCTCTCTTTCTCCGCAGTCCGCGATGTCTCTGTATCCTCATCAACTGCTGCCTTTACATGACGTCCGCGATACTGAATCGGGTGGGGTTCTGGCACCGTATTACCCGGACTCTTGGCCTTCCTCCTCCACCTATCAGCCACCCAAGCCCAGCGGTCGCACAACAAAGAACGGCACATCTTGGACTTTGGATGAACACATGTACGTACACTTTTATTATGTTATTCATTTATTTATGAGAGCATTTAACCCGCAACTTACCACCTAGTTTTCAATGTTGCTAGGTCATAAGAACACCAGTTTTATTATTTTATTTATCTTGTTTGTACCTCAAGTGTATAAGATTATTTTTGTAGTGTAAATTACACTATAAAAAAAGTCTTATATTTAGAATCAGATGAGTATTTTCTCTTTCAAATTAAAAAAAAAATGTTTAATTGGTATGTGATATTTTGATTTGTCTGGGTTATGAGGTGATATGATTTGTTTTAACTTTGATTTGAACAGATTATTCTTGGTGGGAGTGGAAATACATGGGAAGGGAAAATGGAAGAAGATATCTAACAACGTAGTGATGACAAAAAGTACAAATCAAGTGGCAAGCCATGCTCAGAAGTTTTATATTCGCCAAAGTGAAAGAGCCACACAAGTCAAGAAAAGAAGAGCAAGTATCCATGATTTCACTTTAGCAGATATCAGCCCTAACCATCTGGAAAGGATTATTTCTTCAATAACCTCATCACCAGATCATCATCATCATCAATATAACCCACAAATTCCTTCAAATCCTAACTTGATGCATCAATCTAATAACTCACCAGTTCATTATCATCTTCCACTGAATCATCAACCTCACGATCAACCTAACTCACTACTTCATAATGTTCTTCCACTAAACCAGTCATTAGGAAATCAAATTCCATTGATCAACCAAACTCAAATACATTATGATCCTCCATTGAGTCATCAATTAGGAGCTCAAATTCCTTCCAGTCTTCAATCTCATGGTCCAGCTATATCACCGATTCATCATTTTCCTTTGCTGGATCACTTAGGAACTCATCAAAGTCCACTGAATCAGACTCAACTTCATTATGATCTTCCATTGAATCATCACTTACTGCCCATGATGAATGAATCAGGAACTCAAAGTCCACCGAATCAAACTCGAATTCATTATGATCTTCCATTGAATCATCACTTGCTCCCGATGAATCAACTAGGAAGTCAAATTCCTTTGACTCTTCAACCTCATGATCAAGCTACCTCAATGGTTCATAATGTTCATTCGATGAATCAATTAGGAACTCAAATGCCACTGGATCAGACTCAAAGTCATTATGATATTTCATTGCCACTGAATCAATTAGGAACTCAAATGCCACTGGATCAGACTCAAAATCATTATGATCTTCCACTGCCGATGAATCAATCAGGAACGCAAATTCCTTTGAGTTCTCAATCTCATCAAGATACCTTACCGGTTGATTATGTTCTTCCCATGATGAATCCCTCATTAGCATTAATTAGCTAGGAGTTTTGTCAATTGTAATTTGTTTCTTTCTTGTTACTGGTTTTGTGAGTTGCACTTGTCAATTATTGGCTTGCTTTAATTGTGTTCTTGGCGAGGCGACGCAATTTTTTTTTTTTGTGGAACATTGTACTTGATTGCTTCATCAAGAATCATTAACAAGTCATAAAAATCTTTATCTCCTTAATAACAAACATCTATAAATATAATTGTGCACTAAATTTGATTTGGACAATGAAAATGGAAATGAAAAAAAAAAGAATAGTAGAGAGAACAAGGTATAATCAATGAAACTTAATAGATGAGCTTTATCATATCAAAGGTGATTATAAAGCATATACAAAAAGCTAAGTCTTAATTATATCGTATATGATGTTGGCTATATGGTCGGCTATGTACGGATTGATTTCTTATGTGTGAAGAAGCTTTTGTCTCATACTAAAAACAAGAAGGACAAGATAATATGCGGTTACTATTTTTTGTTCCTTAATAAATAGGGGCAACAAACGTTTTCTAACCTTGGAGCCAACTATAATCTTGAATCGTGCTGCTGGGGACTAAAATCGAAAGTGTATAATTAATAAAATCATTAGTACAAAAGGCCCTTTTTACCACGATTGAAAAAAGGATTTTTACACCGTTTTTGTAATTGGAGTGTGGAAAACTTCTATATTAATACATTATGTGTTGTTAATTAATAACTTGTGTAAAATTTTATGAGTTAATAT